CATTCAATAATCTAGAGTTTTTTGTGTGTTATCCACTCCTTAATCCACATCAGGTTTGTTGCTTGATAGTATAGCTCCCAATCAGGTAGCCCAAATCCTCCTCTAGATCTACCATCTTGTAACAATTTGAGTTTTATTCTTGCTTTTTTCCCTTGCCAAATAAACTTCAAAACTATTTTATTTAGATCTTCAAAAAAGTCCTTGCCCAATCTGATTGGGATTGTCTGAAACAGGTATAAGATTCTGGGTAAAATGTTCATTTTAATTGTAGAAATTCTTCCTATCATTGATAGTTGTAGGTTTTCCCATTCATCAAGTCAGTCGCAGTTTGTTGCTTTAGTCTAGTATAATTATCCTCCTTAAGAGTGCTGAATCTACCTGATAAGTATATCCCCAAGTATTTAACCTTGTTTGTGACTTGAATCTGCAAAGCTTGCACCAGCTCTTCTTTTTATCTTAATGGTATATTCTTTGTCAAAATCTTTATTTTGATCTGGCTTGGTTTACTTTCTTTTATCAGGTTTTTATTTATATGTGTCTTTTTATATATTTTGATTCTTAGTTCGGCTGCTCAAGGTCATATGAGAGTCAGGCAGCCAATTAATTAATGTGTGTATTATATGAAGCTAGCTTGATTCAGTCCTCCATATGGTAATTTAAATTCCATGTTGTTCAAAAATTTCTCTCTGATGCATCTATAATTTTCATTTTCTTATCTATGTTCAGTAATATAATACTTTCTGTCCTTCTATTTGAGAAGAGACCTATAACTTTGACGAACTCTTGGAAGACCAATAACTGCAGGATAAAAGCCCCAACATCTTTTTTTAAGTTTTAATTTTTGTTTTATTGTATTATTATAAGACACAATTAATATGTGTTATTATTTTGATGCAGTTTTATTTGTACAGTGTTAATGAGAAGTTATGAATATCATGATAATTTAAGCAACTTAAACCTTTAAAGAATAGATCAAGTTTATTGTAGTAGTTAAGGCATCTAGCTAGAACCTGGAAGACTGAGTTCTAATCTCAATTTAGGCACAAATTAATCTGGATAATTTTGGGTAACTCACTCTCTCTCAGCCCTGGGAAGGAAGCAATCGCAAACCACTTCTGAAATAATGCCAAAATAAACAGCAGGGATTTGTCCAGGTAGTCACTAGGAATCAACACTGAGTCAAATAAATCAAAATAAAAAATGTTAGAGCTAAGAGGGAATAATTACTAATATGAACTATAGTTTCTAAGTTGCTTATATTAAGAAATATAATAATCATTTCATTATTAATTATAATTAATATTAATAAAGATAAAGTTTAAATCATACAGCTGAATGTAGTATTGATAAAGAGCTGCAATCTGCACTAAATTATTTGTTATAGAGATTTGTATCGTAAGCTTAATAACACCACACTCTTTATAGATAATTGTTGAGTTATGATGGCATTTAGGACTAGAATTTCTGTTGCTAAGCAATGTGGTTGCAAAGTACAACATCAGGGAATCACATTGCTCAGTGATTACCAGAATCCCACCAGTTTCAGTTGCCATCAAAGCCTCAGGACGATGTAGGGAAGACCTCACATGACCACATTTTGGGAAGAGGTGGGAGTCCCAAGCAAGCAGATCACAGGTGATAACTACAGTCAAGTAGGCAAATGCTGTGAGCAGATAACTATAGAGCAGAAGAAGGTGGACAAGTTCCGTGGCAAGTTCTTATGGAATATAGGCAGATGGGTGCTGCAAACAAGCACTATAGAACACAGGCTGGCAGCAAGGTCTATGGAACATAGGCAGGCAGGGTATGGGCAAAATAATGGAAGGAGCGACTTACAACCTCCTGCTAGCTTCCCCATTGATTTTGTCTGTGAAAAATCAGCATGGAAGGTCACAAATGGCAATCATTTGACTGTGGGACACTGCAACCATTGTAATTGCAAGTTGGTTACCAAGCACTCGTATCTCAATATTACTGTGTTTCAGGGACGTGCAGTCACTAGAGGCAGGGGAGGCGTGGCCTCACCAGTCATGAGGAAAAGGAAAGAATTTTAAAGAATCTTTTTAAAATGATTAAAAAGGCCAAGGCTGCCATTGCTGCCAGCCAGACTCCAAGTCA